GACGAAAACGAGCAACAACACCTGAAACAAGTCGTTCCGTCATCATTTAATACACACTCCGATTGACCTCAATTGAGAAAGTAAGAACATACACTAAAGTGACAAAAAGTGTAGAATTATCCTATCAAGTCCCGAATGTATGAAAGCATACGGGTTTCATGAGGCTTGGCCCCAATACCATCCCAGCGAGTATTTCGACGTATAATATAGCATCATCAAAATTATCATCTGCCACGATAGTTCTATCATGGTAGTAATTTACCAAGTGATCTTCATAAAATGATGTATATGTTGTCTAAAAATGATACTCATGCTGAATACTACTGGGTTCTAGCACACTCGTTCATATGAAAAAAATTCAGTGCATATTGTCACAGTATTATTTTTAAATGTAGTCAAATTCTTTATATATTCTTATTTGCACTTCCTCCAGTCATTCTCCATCAAATATGAACTAAGTACTACACCTTTATTGATAAACAATCATAAATTTTCATTCAAGTATCAATCTGATTCGATGCTCATATTAAGTCATATCAATGCTCTGTTCATATAGTAATTTCTTCGCCATATCAAATATCACATCCTTTATAGCATCATGAGTAGTTAAACTGTACATTTTTAATGGTATTTAGTCATACATACACTTGTTACATCTAAGATGTATATGTATGTACCAAGTGAAGTAAAAAAAGTTCAGCTATAAGAAATATAGCTTATGAAAGTCAGATTTATGCTTACTGAACAAAGATCTACAAGCATACATACTTGTACATATCTAAAAAGTAGGGAATAACTTGCAAAATGAATAGCAGAATTGACAAAAGTTGCCTCAATGTTAAAAATTAGACCTTTATAGTCATGAATGAAAAGCGAGCGATATTTTTCGTGTGTTTTTACGAAATATGTGTATATTGTTTGATCTCAACGACCTCGCTATACTCTATTTTACATTTCAGAATTTTAGCGGGAAAATGAGCTGTGATAGTACAAAATGGAAGAAATAAAACGAGAAAGAACTATTCATTAAATTAGCTTTCATCAACAAGATACTTTGTCTCAAGAACAATAATTTTTTCGTTGCAAAATAAAAAAGGCATCAAATTTAGATTAATCGTTAACATTTATTATTCCTTTTTTACATGTTATCATTTTTTAATAAAATATATTTTTTTTCAACATGATTTTTTACACCCACATTTCACAACATACCCCTTTGTTGCAGGTGGTAGTCCTGAGTTTTGGTCGTCATCACTTTAATTTGTTCTGGAAGGAGAAGACAAGGTTGTATTGGTCTTTGGGGATTAAGTCCATGTCGACGATATGTGACGTATAGAATTCATGACAAGGGCTTGAGCAGCGGGAACCCCTTGCACGGTAGAGTTTGCTGCTTGTAGATCCCATCCCAGTGTAATGAACATAGTGCCTCTCTCTTCCCATGGATGTGACATCCTACCGACTTGGAATTTGCCGATGCTTAAGTTGACTACCGCATGTGGAACGTTGGAGGTGTTGCCTTCTCAGAATCACTTGAGAGGCCAATTTGATGACACGTCTTAGCGTGTGGAGTTCTGTATAGTGCACCGTGGAGCAGTAGACGACTGCTCCTAACTGATCAGATGGCCATAGCTAATGTTTGGTGACATTCATGATCAGAACCATGGGAAAGTTGTAGATCGGCTAGCAGGTTGCTGTCTGGCCATGCTTTTGCCCCCAACTTGTTTGCTGCGATTCAGATTTTTTCGCATAAACATGCACTGTAGAATACAGGTCCCTTTGGAGGCCGGAACTCGACTGTGACGTTGTCCTATTATGAAGATCAATCCGAATGCACGTTCTTCAATGACTCTTAATGGACAACATGACAACAAAGGATTGATTGCTTGTGTCAACAGCCTCCTAGTAGAGCTTATAAAATTTTCTCATATTGATTTCGTGGAAGAATGAGTAATGAACGAATAATACTAGTCTGGAGCGTTTGAATCTGCACACATACGTCGTTTATTATCTCCGTACTAACAAGAAAGCGAATGTGCGAATTAATATGTGGGTGTGGTCTCATGCAGCTGTGATAACTTCACTATATATATGCTTTATATCATATAATTATTTATCCAAAAGCAGCCCAAGAAATGAGCTTGGAGCTGTCTAACTGAATGCTTTGAAATTCAAGCCTCCCTATTACTTGGGGGTTTTCCTTGTGTTCAAAGCCTATCGTTGCTTCTCCGGTTTATGTTCTTTTGAGGTCCTTCTTTTGGTCTTTCGAAAAGGATAAATTATAAGATCTGAAGGATTAGTTTTTAGAGAACGCTGGAATTTGCAAAAGTTCTAATATTTAATGTAAGAATGTGTTTAACTTGAAATGGAGCACGGTTGTGAAAAAGTCATAAAATATATTTTAGAGTTCAACACCTTTTTGAATTCTGACCGGATTGGAAAAAGAATCAAGTATGTAAAGTGCAACTTTATTCTATAGAACAAAAATCAACACCCATATGGTCATCTTTACATATAAACCATATGCATAGATGATTATAACTATAACATTATCAAAACCAATAGGAAATAGAAGTAATAAGCGATAGTATGTTGCACATCTTCTATTATAAGATTATGCTATCGAAAGAATAATCCACGATGGCAAGACTGAGATTTCGTCTAATCTGTGCATTACTATGGTTCTAAATTTTATTCTTTCCCAACGTTGCAATCTGCTATTTAAATATGTCTCCCGTGATGCAAGAAGAATCTCAAAAGATTTTTCCAAGCAATCTACACCTCGATAAGATCTTTGCATGGGCCTCACTTATAGCTATACATTTTAGAATGAAACATTATAAGCTGGACTCCTTTTTTGCATGGACCAGAAACTTACTGCAGCAGATAGGCCTCCAAGAAGGCACGAGCACACAGTGTAGAAAATGGTTTGTAACTGATAGTTTTTCCTTCTATAAAAATTTCAATCAGATTAGTTAAAAAACATTTCAGTTATTCGACGAGATATACCTGAGCGTAATTACTGATAATGCATAATCCTCAATTTGTACGAAGATGATTAAGACTAATATCAATATAGACCAGAGGGAAGGCTGAGACTGAAGAAGGTACATTCTTCGTACGTTTTATCAGATACGGTCAAAGGAAAAGCCCGGAGGTAAAAAGGGAAAAAAGGGGAAAATCGCCTGCGTTGAGGGAGGGAGGTCCGAGAGGATCAAGTGAATGGGATCCTAATCACGCAACCTTAACAGAACGAAGAAGTCGGTAATGCGGATTAAACAATGATAATCAAGTGAGCGGCACGTCACAGTGGTTGCTAATGAGGCAATGGGCGAGCCAAATAAGCCTGGGTCGGTACCGTATTACACAGGTAATCGATGAAGCACATACACTCATTCAATCGCCCATTCGATGCCCTTCGGGGCCATCCAGGTCACACATTGGCTCGCTCGCTCGCTCCCGCCGGGACTCCTGTTCCGTGTTCCTGCACCTCCACGTGACCGTCTGAGCCCCAACCCCGGACTCCTTCAATGGAGGACTATGAGACATTTTTCGGGACGCCATTTTCTGCTGGAAGAAGTGATTTTTCTCGGTTCCTTTAAGGGTTCCCAAATTTGATGTGCTTCTCTTAGCTCAAGGGTTACAATTTTATCTTTTCAGGCTAAAAATATCACCTAGGCGATTATGTGGATGTGAATAGTTATAAGTTATTGTCTTGCATTCATTAGTCTAAATTTTTTTGCACTAGTGACATTAGCTACGACACAATTTGTGAAGTTTTATAAATGATTGGACTTATATATGAGATGAATATTTGTCTTCCCATGTTTTATTCATGAGACCGATCGCATATTCTTATATTTGAATTTGGGATCACATGTCCACTTCAAATGCCTGTCGTAAGGTTTTGACCCTTTTCATTTTGAGAGCACGAGGTATATGGTCTCTCCAGCCGCAAGTCAAGAACGTTGTTTGTTAGAAGTGAAGTTGTCTGGTAGCGTCTTTTGTTCAGTGTGCGCCTTGGGTTGTGTTTTAACAGAATATTCACACCTCAATGAGAGAGGTCACAATCATGTCCAGTGTGTGCTTATGAGTGCTATGCTAGAAACAATCTATCTTTTATGCATTGTAAGCGCGTTGTAATAAAAAGGTGTGTCTATCATTTTCCCCCTTCTGCATGGAGAGTATAATGATACATCCGGCTTCGAGCTTTCATGTGAGACAGCCGAGGTGAAATCTTACGAGCAGGAGTCCTGAAAGATTGAAGGTTGTTTTACAAATGTAAGCGGTTTGTACATTTTCGAAAATATACCACATCTTCCATGGGGTATCAGTGTGTGCCAAATTTCATGCAAAAAAGCCATGAATTCTTAAGAAAAGAGATTTCCTCGAATTGTTGCTATTATATGAGTTCATAAATTTAAAGTATGAGTGATTTCGAGACCATAAATTCTCTAAAGAACATAACTCTTTCTTCTTCGATGGAGGTCAGTCAACGAAAGACCATGTAACGCTTACAGTTCTTTGAAACTTAAACTCATCTGGAACATTCAGCTCAGAAGCTAGCTCTCGGCTACTATACCAAGCGACATCACGCAGCTCGCTTAAAAAAGTCATAACGAATTCAAAAGAGGTTCCTTGCAGTTTCAATTTCAAAGAGGAGTTCCTTTATCAAGTTCCAAGGAAATTTTCCAAAGTGTAGAGTCGAAAGTGTATTATTTTGTAATTGATCCTATTTGTTTCGAAGTTTGTACATAAAAAATTCTCCTTCCTCGTCGTGGACGAATTTTCGCCATCACGTGCTCACGATCGAAGCTCGGAGAGTCCAAGATTTGCGAGAAAGAATTACACAATGAGTACGCACATTGAAGGGTTTAGGGAGAGAAGGAAACAACGGACTGTGAAGGCGGAGAGCAAGAGAGGGACGGTAACGGCAATGGAGCGGAGCAGTGCCGGCGGGAAGGCTCGGGGGCTCGTGAGCGAGGCGTGAGCCGCGGGCTGCCAACTCGCGGGGCAGGCAGCAGCTCCATGTCCGCCTGCGGCTCCCGCTCGGCGACGCTCGTCTGCCAGAGGAGCTGCGTTGCGACGCCCGCAGAAAGAATCGTTTGATTATGATTTGGCTGCAGATATTTCTCGACGCATTTCGGGTTTACGAGCTTTTTCTATTGACCCTCGCGGCGAGCTCTGCATCGCCTCCACGGTGCGCTTTTATGCGCAGCGCAGCTGCCCAGTCAAAGACGACGGGTGAGGTGAGGTGAGTTCCGTGGGGCAGCACGCAATTCGCCCGCCCGTTCGTTCGTTTTCCGGTTCCTTGTGCTCGCTCTCTCGCTCTCTCGTCTGTGCTTTCGGGCGCGTGCGCATGCGGCCAGCCGCGGCTGCCGTTGCCCATTTTCCTTTTGGCAGCTCCACTTCTGCTTCTCCTTCTGCATCTTGTTCATATTCGCCTCCCTCTCTTCTTCTTCTTCTTCGACTTCCGGGCCGAGGCTTGTCGTGGTGTGTAGGAGGCTGATTGAGATTTTACCGGTAGTAGGTGGCGGGAATAGATTTACGAGCGGCCTAGTGCAGCGATTTGAAACAGGAGGAATATACAGAGCAGAGAAGGCGTGGAGATTCGTGGGATTTGTGCGAAGACAGGCAGGAACGAACTCAGGCGCGAGGAAAGGTGAGGAGTGAAGCCGTGAGTTATTCTGGAGTTGGATTCGTTTGGAGGAGCCCGGGGCCGGGCAAGAATTAGTCGGTCTATTCGAGCTGTGAAAGTCAGCGGGGCGGGGGCAGTAGCTTTTGCTGGATTTGGTCGTCGTCTCGAGACGCTTTGACTGTACTGCTGCTGTGCCTTTCCTCTGGCTGTCTGTCTATCTTCCCAGTCTTCTGTGTGTCTAAGTCTACGTGCACATGGTTTCCTGTCTTCTCGTGTATGTCATCACTCCGCGGTCATCATCTCGTACACTGCCACGAGCCTTTGAGCCCCGTGAGCTCTAGCTGGTGCACCGTGGTACGCACTCTGTACATTGCTGTGCCTTACACTAGCATTCCGGCTCTGCATTACTCTGGATGCAGCCGATGACAGCTACGCCTTAGCCCGATTTGCTCCCACTTCCGCGACATCAGCGTACTTCCTTCTCGTTCTCCTGCGAGTAAATTTTTGTCTGACCCAGTTTCTAGCCTCTGGCTTCAGTCGGTCAACGATCGATCGAGCTGGTTTTCGTTCGAACGTTGACTGTGAACCCAGGACATTCTCTATCTTCTCCTGCCGTCCTCGGTGTGGGGCACTCCTTTGTAAGTATTTTGTGACCGTCATTGCCCTGCACGTGTGTCTGCTCGCATTTCAATCAGTATCTCGGGTTTTTTTGGCTGCTCGCAGTTTGCGAAGCTGACCCTTCTCATCCTTCCTAGCAACACGCATCCGTCTCTCCTCACCGAGCCTTTCTGTTCTGACAATCTGGATGAAGCATTGGTGCGCGTACAACATCGAAGGAGCTTAATTTAGTGTGCAACGTGTTGGCTCTTTATTGTTTCTCACCCGGTTCGTGACCTTGTCCGTTAAAACCTCAGGCTTGGAAGGTTCGCCTTGCCGTCTTCGGAATCTGACTCCCATAATCTACAAGTGTTGCTCTGAAGCTCAGAGCAATGCATCCTGAGTGGTCGCGATGTTTATTGTGTAGTAGTAAGGTCGCTTCAATTCCCTTGTTGATGAAGTATGTTTCGTTTCAATACGGCACGCGGTCAATCAGTCGTCTTACTGGCTCCAATTTCCACCTGATTCCAGCAGTCTACTTCTGGCATTGATCTCCGTGTGCCACCTTTTTTTCTTGGGCTTAGCAATTTGCCTCCATTTCCTGGTGCAATCCCAGCTTCGCTGTTCGCTTCAGTCGCCAGACTCAGCTTCTTTCGATTATGTCGTTCACCGTTAGTATTGGATGTCCTCCTATGCACCCTCGTGTATTCCTCTCGTGACCTGCAGCTTTTTCTCACTATGCTATGGAGTCTAATTCTTCGGAATTTCCAAAAAGCGTTGAGTTGGAATTCCGACTCCACCAGAGATCCGTTACCAGCGCTATGACAATGCTCTACGAAAGTAGGCTTTACGGTGTAGGACCCAGTGCCATCTGTGCCTCGCACTCACCTGAGATTCTGATCGACCAGGACCTATGAGTCTTTGATCCAGCTGGATGTGAAGTCCGTAAATTTCTCTGCTCTCATAGTGTTGTCAGGCACGAGTAGTACGTGCACGAGATCGCGCGAGAAGTTGGACTTTTAGATGTATTGTGAATGGTGTTCAGCCTTATAAAAAACTGGCGATTACATTCTGGAGATTCACAACAATCTGTATTCACAACAATCTGTCGTTAGTGTAGATCTACATCTCCGTCGTCGACGAGCAACTGACGCTTTCTTTCTATCATCCTCTAATCGAAGCAGTCGGCACTCTAGTATTGAAGTAGACGCCAAATTCCATCTCATGGGTAGACTTTGATGGAGCCGGTTGTGCTTGAATTAGTCGGCTGAAATGTCATACAGAGTCTCTGATCAGCTGGCACTGGGAACCTTAGAATTATCAAGCTTTGTCTCGGGCTTTGCGGTCTATGTGACGAACAGCCGAACATGTTTGCAACTAAACGAAGTGGTCAGCTGATCATAGTGTATTGGTTAACGAATCGCTGTTCGGTCATCCAGAAGAACAAATTGGAACTAAATGTTCTTCAATATAGACCTTGCTCTACATTAGCACTCTTTGGATGCTGACTACTGCAGCTTTTCCTTACTATGCGCAGATCCCCGACTATATGTACGCTGGATATCTGAAGAATGCTACTTGCGGTTGTTCCATGTAGCTGGAACTGTTAGTGAAACCAGTTTGCAAACCAACGATCTAATCGGGAAGAGATGATGGGACAACCAGGCGCTCAGCCCCCGTCTCGGTCCAAGAGCGGGTCGAAGTTGGAACCGAAACCGAAGCACCGACTCACAGGGTCGGTGTCCAGCTTATCTTATACTCCTGAGGAGCTGTCCTCTGTAGATGCTCCGGGTAATGGAAATCCTACTTCTGGGGGTTCTTCGGCTTTACCAAGGGACAACCGATACAGAAGGAGAACCCGTTCTTCCCTCGGAGGAACAGAAGATCTCATAAAGGAGCTTGATTTTCTCAACCCCAGCAGTAAGAAATCGGATTCACGTGAATCGACCCCGACTCCACCCACGACTCCGCCTGCAGGTTAGCAAGTATTTTCAACCTTCGGCCATCATGGCTACATGAGCATGCTTCATGTAGCCATGATTATGGAATGTATGCGGGCTACTGACACAGCTTTGCCAGTTGGTCTTTCCGTCTTCGTACTTCAGCTGTCAACTTACATTCACAATATAATTATGTTTGTTTATGCGCCGCCAGATCTGTGTCTTAGAACGATGTGTGGTTTGGTTTGCTGCTGCAAGCCGGATGATCATGCTAGATAAATTCATTTTCTGCATGAGTTCTACCTTGGCGGTCTCAATTTATATCAGTTCTTGACTGCAGGCTTTAGGCCGGAAACTTCACCTGCTCCAGGAACCGACTACCCTGCTTTAAAAGGTGAGATAACTCTTCGTTTACAGACTTGATGCGATAGTCGAGTACAACGAACCTTTGTAAGTTTCTGTTGCTTGGGAGGATAAAAGCTGCTGTAGGTACTTACCACGATGACGTGAGTGCAGATTCCATTTTGAGTCGGGAATAGATATTAGTGTGCATCATTGAGATGATTGCTGTGTTTCATGGAGGTCATTGTACGTTGGCTTAGATGTTGGTCCCTATGATTGTTACGAGCCTGCTTGAAGTTAACAGCCGAGTTTGGTGCAGCTGAACCAAGTAACCCTGCCGAAGATTCGTCGCGGAGTCGTTCGATGGAAGCCGTTAGCGACAACGAATCGGCGAGCTCTGAATCTAAAGGTGTTTTGCCCGAAGGTTCGAAAGAGCTCACATCTCAGGGATCCGCAGCGAAAGCTGTTGCTTCTGCTCGCCCTGCTGTTAGCTACCCAGATGTGGTGGCGCTTGAGACCCAAGGAGGAAGTGCTGTACAATTGAAAGCAGGTGAGCGAATTTACACCATCTGATTATTATGAAACAAGTTTGGTTTATGATTCGTGACATAGTGCGCTCAAGAAAAGAATGGCTAGATGTGTCTCTCTGCTTGTAATATACATCGTAAGAGTCGTCGAAGAGCATCGAATTTTTAACGTACTACGAGCATCATGCTGTTTTGATATAGTCTGGGAAGTCGTTATGAAAGGCTCTGAACTCTGTCTGCACCGCTTGAGCTTTGACTTCAACTCTGACAGGTCTCCAGATTAAGGAAAGGATAGTGTTATTAGTCCTCTTGCTAGTGGTACTCCAAGAGTTTTGTGTAGGGTCTGATATTGACTTTCATTGTTTAAGCAGGTGCATATTCCACCAATGAGGAAGAAGACCTGTGGATTTGCCGACAATGTGGATGGACATATCCAAATGCTCACCCAAGTGCCAAGCATAGGAGAAACCATAAGAAGGTTTGTGGAAAGGTCTATCCTGGTGTTGAAGTCCCTCCTGGTTCTTCGGATGAGGCTTCTTCCGACGATGAAAAAAGCGTAGGTAGGTGCCGATTGCAACCTCCTTTCATTACGCAATTTGTACCCAAATAGATGGTCACAGCTGAAGTAGCTGTCTCCTCTGAAGTTTCTCTCTGTTGGGAATCGTTTTCGACACCTGTGGACTTCATGGATGGAATGGTTTGAGACGCTTGTTGACTCTTGATAACGAGACGTATGTAACGGGTCATCGTGTGGAACAGCTGTCTGGGGAGTTCTCTCTACCCGTGTTTTGCTTCTTGTTTGCCCCCTTTTCACCACCATGTCTGAATTAGAGAATTATTTCCTGAGCGAAAAATGTGTGTTGGCGTTCCATTTGCAGTCGAACAAGGAGCCGAAGCTCCGAAGACGACTTCCTCTGCCACTACCATCTCAGCACCTGGTAAGGGAGATGCCAAAGATGAACCTGTTCAGAAAAAAGGAGTTGCACCTAAAGTCTTCACTAAACCCACTATCTCAACGGGTTCCGAGTCTAGCTCGAAGAACTCTCCTGTGACTTCTCCTGGTAAACGTGATTCTCCATTCAGTTCACCGGCTAAACGTGAATCTTTACTAAGTTCCCCGGCTAAGAAAGAAACTCCATGGGGTTCTCCAATCAAGAGGAGTACCCCCGTGAATTCACCTTCGAAGAAAGTATCATCCCCTATCACGTCTCCAGTTAAAAGGATTAATTCTACTCCTGTGAAGAAGTACTCTCCACCTCGTCCTGAAAAGCCAGAAGGAGTTACCAGAGTGTTGACCGCCAAGCAGCAGCAGGAAGAAGAGGAAAGAAAAATCAGCGTCAAGAAAAGGATTGAGGATCTGGAGCGAATTGCAGGTGGGAAGCCCCACACTTGGAAGGACTATCTTGCTGAAGGGAAGAAGAGCGGGGAGTTATCTTCTAGTGGATCTCCACTAAGACATGTTGAAGAAGGTGGGTCAAAGAGTGGTGAGTTGTCTCCAAGTGGGAAGCCCCTGAAACATGTGGAGGCTGGAGGAAGGAAGAGCGCCGATTTTTCTCACACCGGTACAAGTGGGAAGCCATTAAGAAACATCCAGAGTGCAAGGAAAAGTGGAGAACTGCCTCCGACTGGAGGATCACCACCGATGCACAGCGATGATGGTAAAACGATCAAGACACCTGAACTTGGAGAGGTGTCTGAAGACCTTTCTGCTTCTTCAGAGTATCGGAAGTCAGCAGTCGGCGAGCCATCCAGCATATCTTCTGCAGAGTCGGCAAACGTAAACCGTCGGGAAGTCGCTACTCAGGGGAGTGTAGGTAATGAAACAAAAAAGAGGTTGGTTTTCGCACAGGAGATGCTTGGAAGCGCAGGGCACCTCGCTAAGGTCGACGTGGCGAACGAAGACATAACAGGGAAGGACTCTGTTGCGATAGCTCCCTTAGAGAAGGTACAGGTTACGGATGCTGTCACGGTCTCTTCCGCTGAAAAGCTGCAGACGACGGATTCCGTGGCAATTCCCACTCAAGAGAAGGCGCTGGTTGCGGATGCTGTCACGGTCTCTACCGTTGAAAAGCTGCAGACGACGGATGCCGTGGCAATTCCCACTCAAGAGAAGGCGCTGGCTGCGGATGAATTAAAAATTACTGGAGATAGTAAAGTTGGGGGAGAGTCGAAGGATGTGTTCAAAGACGGTACAGTATCGGCCGGTATTTTTGGTTCACAAGGTCAAGGACCTCTTGAGATTCCCCTTGAAAGAGGTCTATCTGAAGATAATTCGTCTAAACAGGAAGCAGATGCCCCTTCTCATAGCCGAAGTCCCTCATTTGTGCTGGATAAAGGAGATTCATCTCCTCAAACAGATACAATTGTTCTTCAGGATCACGATGTACTGAAGCCATCTTTGGTTACGGACAGTGTTTCTCGCGACCTTTCAGATGCTGGAACTGTTCTTAAGGAAGTAGTTATACCAGATAAATCTCCTGCAGCAGAAGGCGTATCTACGATAATCAGCGATAAACAAGCTGATACCACTCCAACTGAACCTGGCAGTGTTAAGGAGGAGATAAAATCAGACTCCGGAGCATATGCTGTACAATCTGTGAAAGGGGAAGTTGTTCCGTCGAAAGAGCACCCTACTCCTGTTCTTGCCGTCGATACTTCTCTGGCGAAAGAACAACCTTCTCCTGTTGTCACTGTCGACAACCCGCTGGCCAAAGAGCAGTCTTCTTCTGCAGTGGTAGCTCCCGTCGCAGTCACAGAGCCTGTGCAGGAGCTTCTGTCCAAAACAGGGGTAGACTCTTCGGACACTCTTTCATCTGCTTCTAAAGCTGGAGAAAAAGCAGAAGTTTCCGCACTTGTACTAGAAAATGCTTCGCCTTCTGGAGACGAAAAATCTGAAGCTGTTAGTGTGAAGTCTGTCGGTGAAGAACTTACTGCACCGAAAGGTTCTAGTGGTAAGTCATCTCTGACTTGTTTCACGGCTTGCTTCCTTGACCTCGAACCATCTCTTGTGAGAATAGATATCTGACGATGTTCATTCCAATGTGTTAAAATGAGGTCGAGAATTGTCGTGGATAGAATCCTCATGCACCTTTTGCTATTATGATGTGTGGGCTGGATGTTTAGTTAACTGGACTCTGACTCGGGTGTCTGGGCTCTGCAGAAAGCAGCACCGTGAAAAGCCCAGAGAGTGATAATGCAGTCGGAAACTCCCCCCCCTGCCCAAGGCCAGTAGACCAAGAGGATGACACCTCGGTGCTCCTTACTAAGCAGCCCGCTGTTGACCCTCTGTTTGTAGACTCCCAACAGGATCGATTGTGGGAGATGCATTCCCAAGAGTTGACTCGGAGAGAAGGCGAGACTTCCGGTACAGATGTGAGGGAAAGCTCGGCTCAAGACGACGATCCTATCCAGTATGTGAATGGGTCGCCCATGGCGGCCGAAGCGTCAGCTTCCGGGACAACGAGCAATGGTAACGGCCACAGTGAGAAGGGCAGCAAGGTGGATAGACCTCGAACACCTCTGCGCAGCCTTATAGCGGAAGATGATGCTGCGGACAAAGGAGGAGACGATGGTGCTCCCACCGGGAAGGAAACTCCCATGGTGTCACCAAGAGGTAACTTGTTCAGAAGAATTGTATCGGGCGGGAAGGCTTCGCCAACCAAACCGTCCACTCCGTCCATGTTTGAGAAAAAGAGTCATTCCAAACCCTTTTTGAGCAGCTGCATATGCTGCTCGCCTGTGAAATAGAAATGGGTATGAAGATGTTCAGCGTTAGACTGTCAAAACCTGTGTTGTTAAATATCATCGGTGATCCAGAAGAGAGATGAGGGCCTACTGCCAAGTTTCTGTACAGTGGAGGTTAGCAGAGAGACAGTGCTCGGGGAGCAGAACAGCGTGGTTTCACCGATTTAGTGTAGCCCTTTTAGAAATCGTTTGTCCCAAAACCAGACCATACAAGCATTAGACCCTGCCCCAGAGCATTTGGCCGGCACGTGCCAGGGATGTTGCGAATCAGAAAAATTTCGAGCGGGAGGTTACGAGTGTTATCTTTTTTGATATACAGGGTTGGGAAGAAGTTTCTAGTTTTCAGGTAGCACTTCACACAAATTACCAAATCGTTAGGACGTTGGTGAAGGCGTTGGCGATATCTGCTTTTCCATATACCTTCATTGGTGGATATATGATCCACTCATATGTATTTCACCCTTCATTAAGATTACCTACCGGCATGAGACCACTTATGGTGGGTCTTGCATGTTTAGCATACTGGGTTCGGGTCTCCACGGTTAGGAATGTGAACTAATTGAGACTTTTGAAAATCAAAATATGTTTTTAGCCTGGAAGTTGAGGATGTCGGAAGTTGGCGATTAGAGCATCTGGAATGCGAGTAGTGTTAGTTTGAGGGTCCTTTATGGGCCAGAATGGGTGCGGCACTGCAGTTCACGCGGGGTGGGCAGTGAACTGAAGCTCTTCCCGCCATAAAAATCCCTACGAGACTTCGTAGGAGTAGAGCGTAGTGAGTCTGGCCTAGTGGTTCCGGTATCATTATGCAGCGAGTGCACAGCAGGATGGATGTTGTAAAGTTTCACGTTGCCCTTGTGACCACTGTGTAGATCTTCTTGTACAGCCTAATTGGGTGTTAAAAGTACACTTCTCCGCCAACCCTAAATTTGGCAGAGGGTTTTGTGTATTCGTCTTTTCCCCTTTGTGTCACTAAGTGAAGTTTTTCTGAACAACAGTCGCCGGTACTCTTCGGTTTCCCTATATTCAATTCACCTTGCAATGAAGCTAATATCTCGGTGCAGTAATGTTACCAGGCACAGTCAAGTACGTATGTATAAATAACATATTTCTCATTTTCTGAGGAGCAACTCAATGCTCACAATCCTTCAGAGTGCAACCCTTGATGGAATCAGTTTCTGGCAAATCGAATCCATGTGTAATCAGTTCACAATCTTCAATGCTTCGCACCATCTTCGAGGCTATCTTTTAGATGCCGGAGGCTGGATGAGTAGTTGGTGTAACAGTAAGAACGGTAGGACAGTAATACCGGGTGAGATGTGGCTTTACAGCAAGTAATAGCACCAGTGACGTTGTACCAACTCCGGAACGAAACTGTGGAGAGGTACTCGCAGGAACCTGCGTGATGAGGATCATCATGATTGCTGGCCAGCGCAACGAGTTTTTTGGCTTGAACCTCAATGAAGCATTGCTGAACATGCGGATTCACACATTACGTATGGGATGTATGGTGAGTCAGACATTAGCCACTTCTGTAAATTGCATCTGAATGTCCATGTGGGCTGTGCCTCCGTAATGGTATCCGGATCTTCTGTAGTCGCGCACAACTCCCCAGCTGTATATGCACGAATACACCGAGAAGTAATTTTCAGAGATTCCTGGGACTATTAAAACTCCTCGTACCACAGTGCTCCCTAGTCTACGACCGTAGTAAATACTTCTTACCACAGTGCCCAACCGAGACAATGGACGAAGACAACCTGCTTCCTCAAGTCACTTTGCCGGGTTTATGTTCTCATCCACACATGCCCTGGAGTAATCACAGTTTTCAATCATCCTCTGTGTTGATTAATTCCTATTTTTTGGTGTACACGAGGGCACGATTGATTCTTCAAAGTCTGGAGGGAATCCCGTGCAGAGGCCAGATCCCAACTCGCACTCTCGTGGGCCCGGTGCAGCTAAGTTCAGTCCTGGCGCATGTCTCCGTGAAGGACGATAATCATCAGCTTGCACAGCCATTGCGAGCCGTGCATATGTGAATTACTGTGCGTGACCTGAAAGGTGGTTGATAAATGTCTCTTCACTGAGTAGAACAGCAACCTGTTATCTTCGTTAAACTGGAACACCAACTGCACACGCCACTACGCACATGCTGATTCTGTTGGTTTCATCACTTTACGGCTTGACCTGACTCCTCTGTGTACCTTTATTCCTTTCAGTGTACTCGTTCAAACGGACACAAACCACGCAGCGGACAGGTGTACAACCCTTGATAGTGCTCGGCATTTCAAGGGGCCAAATTCGCTGCTTTGTTCAAGTTAAAACACCTCCCTTTAGGTTTCAAACTTCAATTCTCATCCACCTGGGAATCCACAACAAATCACATTCTCAACCACGGCAGCGAAATAAACACATGAAACTCTGATAGTCGTTCGTGACGGATTCTCAACAGAATACAGCATTGACTTGTTTCGTCCTTGAGAGTAGATTGCCTTATCTTCTAGGCTGCATGACGGGTGAGAAAGTTTGTTTGTTGCGTCGTTTACTCTTCGTGCTCGAAGACCCGACGGAACGTCCATTCCAGTTGTGGCAACAATTCCGACGGCCTGACAGAGTTCTATTTGTTCCAACCACTGCTTTGGTGAAACTACAGGGAAGCTAGCTCGCCGGACAATGTGACCTTGGGCGTACACCTTGTAACCAACAAAAGTTGATCTCGATCTCATCATCCCAGCACTACTGGCAGCTCCTTCCTCTTGACCATGCGAAATGCTTGCATGTGGAAGATACCTCCTGGTGAAGTATAATGGGCGCAAAGAAAAGACTGACCTGACCTCAAATATGACAGATAACAGGCTTGAAACAACCCCACCCTTGCGATGACTTTTATACATAAAGTTTCTGGCTCTGGCCGATGATGATGATGGTGACAGGGTTGCGAACTACAGTATCAGGACTGCAAGAATAAGAGTAACCTCCTAAGTGCAGAGCACAGAATCTATCTACACTACCCTAATTCTATCGTGCGAGGTTCTATGACTCTGACCAATCTTCATCTCCCACATGTCGTACAACTAGTACTACAGACGAAGCCAGACGACAACGTCGCTCACTCAATTTGCTCCAGAAAGTGAGAAGAGTGGCAGAACCAGTACCCGCTGATTGTAATTACCTTGAAAGCCCCGAGAATGAGAAAAGAAAGCCGTGTGCGTAACGAGGTCGGTTCGAGAGTATCGACGGCAAGCGGACGCACACGAATCTCAGTCAGCCTCTTCTTCTCCTCCGAAGTTCAGCATACGATGATAAATGATGACGATGATGCGGATTTCTCCCGTCTTTCGCGTCCGTGGTCGTCATGAATCGCGCGCTCGAAACTCAAGCTTCTTTGGCCTTGGCTGCGGCGGCCGCGTTATCGCGAGGGGACCCGAACACACCTCGGAAAACCATGGCAGCTGCCACAGTCCCGAGCAGGGGAGAGAGCCAATAAACCACGAGCTGCTCGGACACCGAACTGGTCTTATTGAGGTAGGCCCAGCCGAAGGCATCGGAAGGATTCATGGCAGGGCCCGTGTACTTGGCGCCTTGCTGCACGAGAACCAGAGCGCAGGCCACAATCAAAGGCGTCTGCAGGAACCGATTGCTGGTCCCGCGCAGAACGACATACAGCACGATGAGATTGATGGCGAATGTGAGGCCGCCCTCCGCCAGAGCGCCCGTCCAGAGGTCGGTCTTCAAGTTGGGGCCCGACCCCATGAGCGGCCGGTAGGGCGCCGGCATGAGGCTGGTCGCGGTCAGCACCCCCGCGGCCGCGCCCGCTGCCATGGCGGGCATGCGCACCAGCAGCGTCAGCAGCGTGTCGTCGCTGGCGCCCGCGGCGTAGAAGGCAACGGGCGCCGTCGGGTTCCAGGCCGGCCCGCCCAATTTGAACGAGAACTCGACGAACACCAGGTTCACCACCAGCACCAGCGCGTACACGATCGGCGTCCGATCGCCCTCGTACTGCGTGTACCTCTCGATCACGAACGCCGCCGCCCCTATCGACGATGTTATCAGCGTCCAGAAGAACGACATGATCCCGTCCAGCACCGCCATCTTCATCACCCCGCTCTTGCCCATCTCCTTCCTTCTCTCCTCCTACCGCTGCCCCGACGATGTCGATCGCGCCTCGGCTCCAAGAATTTCCTCCAAGCTCCGCTCTCGATCGATCGACCGACCTCTCTCGCTGTACTACCGCGAGAGCGAGATCAGCTCAGATCGATCGAGACGATCGAGAGAGAGAGAGAGAGAGAGAGAGAGAGAGAGAGAGAGAGAAGAGTTGCTAAGAGTTGCTAGCAGGAGAACATCTGTGCCGAGGTTTGGATTTAAGTCAAAGCAACTCACCGCTTTCGGTTCACTTTAGGACCAGCTTTTGATGCTGCGCTCTTCCACTCGCTCACCCAATTAGTCTTTCACTCTCGCTCTTCCTCCCTCCCTCGGGCCCTCGTGTGTGTCCGAATTGCGCGATCCCACCTGGCGCTGGCGTATGCGCGAGCTGGAGAGGCGAAGGAAGAGGGCAATCTTCTCCTGCACCTGCGCTTTGCTTCAGCGTCTTTGGGCTCCGGTGCCGAATCCCTCGACAGCCCTGCGTTCGCTTTTGCTCGTCTGCCCGTCTCCGTCATGTCCGAACGACAAACTTCCCGACCACATGGCATGACATGCGCATGCCATCTGGTGGTTCGTCCCCGCCCCTCTGGTTAGTATGTATTGGTCGGCATGCTTTGACCAGTTCGTATTATCGACATGAGATCGTCGATTGTCTCATACGACTACATAATTGTACTGTACTACGAATTTTAAGCGATACGATGCGTATTTGAACTCTGGACTGTGCTGTTCTCATTATGTTCTGGGAGAAGTTCTAATTGGACAAATTAACTGGAGGTGATAAATGTACCGGGAAGCGGAAGAGGCGATCTTATATCGGTTCTGGCTAGAACAACCCCGATTTAATGCTCTCCGGTCTGACGGTATACGTACACCGTTCGTTACAAACGAACGGTGTACGTATACCGTGGGTTTCACCGTCACCCGGGGTTTCGCGTTTCGAGCTTCCCGCCCAAGACGAGACCGGGCGGCCTTTTCGTCTAGCATTTCTTGTCCCGGATTCGCGATGGCGGATGACGCTAGCTCGGAGGTGGCGATTTGTGGAATGATTTCTGCATTCAATCAACGAATGTGTAATCACGTCCTCCGCTTCTGTTCCAGTACACCCGGCTGATTTTCAATGGATCCGATTACAGGGACTGATTGTATGGATCGAACGTCGTGAAGGCGGCTTGACCCGAAACCGACTCAGTCCACCCAATCTCGAGTACAGCATGGCCGTGAAAGGGCCGTAGCGGCTAATTTGTATGCAGGTGATATTGGAGGTAGTAATTGAAGGCAATTGCTGACTAGTGATGGCTAGTAGGTGCAGTAAGACGTTCGAGCTGCAATACAACATCCACATAGGTTGTAAACATCTACTTCTCTAAAGGATACATATTTCACGATACTGAAAGTCATGGCCTCTATATGTTTCAAGCGACAAACTACCGCAGTAGAGAGGAGGATTCGATCGAATTCGAGGATACCTTCTCGTTAGAAAAAACTGCAGATCGACCCCATTGTGAATGATCTGATGTTCCGAATAAATCTCTCAAGAAACAGAAGGCGGAGTATGGTTTCAACCATCCCTGCAGACGAATATCCGGATCAACATTAGCGAAGCACTGAGAACTAGGGGTAACTGAAGGCGAAGAGTCGAGCTGGAAGCATATCGTGAAAAATCTTGATATTACAGTCTTATTAGGTTTCAATCGTATTAGTTTTCAGTCCAGATCTGAACTTAGCACCAATTGCTTATACTACCAGTCTCGATTTCTAGATGCCAAATGGATCACGGCAAGAGCTGTCTTCGTAGTATTCGCAATGAGCTTCAAGAGTGATGCTGTAGTTCAGGCCGTAGGTTGTTGTCGCACGGGGAGGCAACGAGCAGGGGATGAACTAGTAGTCTTTCATTGAAACCTGCGGAATCGCATTCAGGGCAGGCTGGCAAGGCTGGCGGGCGTCTGATGGCGGATCCGCCGGTTGGCTCATTCACTCCTGAATATATTCATTGAGGTAAATGTATCGAAATTCAAGATAACCAACCCCACGTTTGAATAGAAAGTATGTCATCATGGTGAGAACACTCTGCCCTCAAAAAGGATTCTTGATAGTTTAAGCAAACAGTGATCTTCTTCAGAAACATAACTGCGCGGATATGACATGATTACTTATAAAAGGCCTGTACCAGTGAAAAATACAAGGAATATCATGCAAAGGTTTATATTGCAAGAGGGTCTGAACATATGCATGCCAATTGCATAATGACATTCTAACCTCTTTCAAGTGCTCACAGGATTCTAGAAAGACGACCTTTTCTCATGCACTCCTCGCACACCCATGCATGCCCACCATTTTCGTACTTCACCTGATACAACCTGAAAATTTTTGAATAGCTATCTTTAAGGTGAGGCGCAAGAGTTTGCTGAATCCTCAACCATGCTTCATTCAGCTCCTCGCTATGCCCACCTTTCCGAATTGCCCTACCATCTAGTTTACTAATACCATCTAGTTTAAGAATATCGGTTTTCAAATCATCCCACTGCGGAATAGCTTCGCCTAACTGGAGGGTCGCAGACAGTCCAGCCTTTACAGCATAATACAGGACTTTGCATGAAATCTCAATAATCTTTGGAATCCATCCGCTATTCTCCTGATCCAAGCGAAGCTTCAAACCTTCTTGATTTTTGACAGGGTGGAACCCAGTTACGGCCTCACACATCAAACGTAAGCAAACGGTTGTTCCGAGATGCAAACGTGCACTCATCTTGTAGAAAATGCCTACATCATTCGTGACGTAAGGTCGCTTGGGCGTTCTGGTCTGCTGATGCGATTCTGAATACTCAATTATCCTGTCAACTTTAGACATGAATTTACTGAACGATGACTGCAGTTGTTGTTGAAGAGAGATTATTTGTCCCAACTTCACGTCCAATCCTTGCACAATGCTCTCCACTGATGTCACTTTCTCATATACACCATCAACCTTTCCTTCTATCTGATCCATCTTGAACAAAAGAAGTTGGGTGTCCCCACTTGTGCTGGCCTGGCCCGAGTAGCTGGCTGAAGCTGGATTGCAGTCTTTTCTATGAGGTAAACTCGAGTTGCTAACCGTTATCTCGCTTTCAGGTTGAGAATGAGCCAAATCATCGTTCAAGCAGACGAGGCTTTGCTGCAATGACTCCAATAGTTGATGGCGCTTCTGTCGGATCTCATTCAAAACCGCTTCCACATCTCTCTCCCACAGCAGATTTGTAGCACGTTCGGATGTTGCCTTTAAATGCAAATCTGGAATCTCGGGCCAAGTATACTCGTAGTTGAGCAACTCTTCCTCCTTAACCAGTTGCCACCCATCCAACGCAAAGTCCTCAAGTTTGTCATTGATGCTAGTAGAGAACTCTGATTTGAGCTCCTCAATCAGAATGGCTCCTCTGAGATGACTCGGAATCAGCTTCTCCACGCAAACTGTTTGGATCACACCTAACACTAACGCCACGCCAGGACAGCCTTTGGGTGATGCACAAAAGGATATCAACTCCTGGACAATATGCTTCAGTACATATTTGATGGACTCCTCCTTTGACTTATGCTCTGAGCATAACATCAGAACGTCTACATAGTTGTGCGACTTTTCACTCTGAAAGTGTTCCACGTAAATCTCGTGACCATCGAGTAAAAGTTGTAGATAATGTCGTGAGAGTGTCACTGTCCCGGATTTCAACTTGCGTCTCATGAACATCTACAATGATGGAAATTTTGGAACAGATAGAATGAGACATTGTACTGATTTGACATAATTGATGAAAAAGAAAAATTGATTCATTTTACACAAATTATAATCATGACTTGACGAATTCAATATTTTCTCAGGCTTCATGCAATCATGATTCAATCTCACCTGGAAGCGTGGAAAAAACGCAGCAGATAGTGACATTGTTTTTAGATCTTCGCATCGAATCCGAATGCCGACAAAATTTGGGTTCGCAACCTTAGAGCTCCATGACATTGACACCACACACGCCCCTTCTTGCTGCTTCTGTTCTTCCATGCTTGCATACTCAGGGATGAAGGAGGGAATGAAATATTGAAAAGAATCTTCGAGCTTGAAACCCAAATCTAAGTTGAAAAGAATCTTTTCAAGGATCTCTCTATCAACATTTTGAAAACGTGATTGCTTTTTCAAAAACGTTTCCATTAATCCAGTAAAGACACTCTCACTCACAAATCCGTCCTTGCTTGTGTATGAATCACTTGACATCACCATCTCATAAGCATTGGACTCTTCAGCTTGAAAATGTTGACCCATAGCTATCAGTTCACCCAAAATTGAATTGGTGAGCCAGCTCGGATGGACGATTATGTGATCAAGGTTAGGAATATAAATGATGATTCCAACATCATTTAAGTAGGATACGAGGGAGTTTAATAATCTTGTATGATCAACAGAAGATGGTAGAATGAGTTGCTTCAAGCTGGAATCACAGAAAACACTAAACTTTTCCAATGACCAAAGAGGGCAAGTTTTGTCCTTCTTGATGTTTGAAAGCAGTAGGGAAGAGAGTTGAAAGCATAATTGGGGAACTCGTGGGGAATTTTCACTCAACAAGCTCTTGAACATCTCAAAAATGTGATTTTTGAGAGGAATCACTTGATTCCTTTCCCGAGCATTCACATAAAAAAAATCCTGGAGAGGGCAGAGATCCACATAGTTTGCGAACCTTACTTTGAGTTCTTCCACTATGGAGTGAACCCAATTCAAAGAGGTGGATCCCATCTTATCCTTGTGTGAAATTACAACAAGAACTTGAGGAAGATTATGGCCTGTGACTTTAGTGCTGGATGAGATGAAAGTCAGCCAGCCTTCCAACTCAGTCCGAAAAGAAGAGGGTGGTTTGTGAGAAGATGTTTTCTCAACTACAGGGCTATACACAAAAAGAAATACACAAAAGTCGTTGGTTTGAGGAAAGAGTACATTTTGAAGAGTACGGAAAATCCATTGTCCGGCAAGATCCCAAATTGAGATTTGCATTTCTTCATTGTTCAGTAAGAAATCCACCTCAATTCCTTTGGTCCTTGACAACTTTTCCAGTGTTTCCCTGATCCAGGTCTTGTCCCGAACTATCTTCATCAGAGTTCGACGCAATTGAGTCTTGCCTGTACATTGCATATAAATCACGATATCTTCAAAGATAATTTGATATGATATTTTCTAAAGACAGAGTGTAGATAAATGGGATTGAAGATATTTCCTATTTTTCCATATGAGTTGAAACTATCGAAGCAAAATTTGGAATATTGTATGATTTTATTTTCTTCTATTTCTGTTTCTAGTTTCAGAGATAGATAGATATAGATATATATATATATATATATCAAGAAATAAAATGTTATAATAGAAAAACAAGACTTTATATTGCTAGTTTGAACACATTGAGAAAATAAAAGGACAAATTGAAGAGCTCGTTACCTGCTCCAGGAGAGCCGCATAAGAAGAGTCTACCAGCTTTTGCATCTCCAAATTGTAGTTTGGCTTCAGTGAATACTGACATGTACACGGCCCGCTCCTGGTTCTGCTTGAGGGCCGCTTCAATCAGCGCCGCCTTTCCGTTCCTTGCCCAAGGGGTCTCGGAGACATCTATTGCCTTGAGAGTTAAATTCACTTGCAACAGCGCCATCAGGTCCCTGAACAACTCCTCTGCTTCTTTGTCGTATAGATTGACACTTTCGGACATTGAAGTATTGAAAGACAAAGTCAAGCTAGTGACTATTGTGTTCCAACGCAAAGACTGAACCAGGTGCTTCCATACCCGAAAACCTCCAGGACCAAACGTTAAGTTCAGTCTCTCCAGACGTGAAGTTTCTCCAGTTATTCCATTCATCGGAAGGATATCTTCTATAGACGTTCCGCTAAATAGAGAGAAATCCATTAACAGTAGAGTAAGAGATTTTACAGACTTGATTTCCCCTCGCAATACACTACTTAAAAGCTTGAACGGTGCCAACATATCATCTTCATCTTCATCCATTCCAAGATGCAACAAGGGTTCCTTCCCATCGGAGCTAGCAGCGCACGAAAGCTCTTTAAGCTCATTGAAATAGCTTCGTGATAGTACTGTGTCTATGTTAACAGTTGTCGCTGTGGCATTGTCACGTATAGCTTCGCCTAGCAAGCGCCATTCCTCCACAGGCATGGTTATGGCCTTCAGCGTCACTACCCTCAATGATCGATTGGAAAGGAAAACTTCTGCTAAACTTTTCCCGATTCCAGACATGCGTACCAGCTCAAGTTGCTCAATCGATCGGTTGCCATCATCTCCGGCCAATGCGTACAGCAATAAGGCGGCAGATCTACCCTCCACTCCTTTTAAAACCAATTCTTTTAAACACGAGTTCTGCTTCAAAGTCAGGGACAAGAGCCGAACGGCCGCATCGTACACGTACCCTTCTCCACCATATCTCGAGGATAATAAACTCAAAGTTTCTAATTGATGATAACCGTTCAACACCTCAACGATAAACTTCACCGCGTTTGGGTCCCCCCAATCCATTAATTCTAAAGACTTGAGTATAGAGTGGGAATTTTTTCGCAGTCCTGATGCGAGATTCAAGAAAAATCTCGCAGTCAATCCCCTTTGCGATATTTTCAAGTCCGCTACACTAGAGGTATTCAGAATTATCCCCAGCTGTAAACCCAAGCTCTCCAAATCCGCTTCATAAGTCCAGCTCAGACGCTGAATTTTCATACTTCGTAGAACGCTGCTGGACAGAAAACCTCTCAACACTACCTCCCACTCGCTAGCAGTCAACGTCGATATATTATGGCCACAAATATCTGCTACGTCCAGCTTTTCAGAACTGCTAATGCAGCTGCCGATTGCCTCCAGCACTCGAAGGCGCACTTGGCTTCGCCACCCTGAGTTCGTCGAAAGCGGTGAAAACACCGGGAAGAAATCCTTAACTTCTGAACGGCGTAACAAGCCTCTAACTTTCAAGGATTTCTCTCCCAGACGCCGAATAATGTCTTGGACAGGGGAGGGAAGCTCTGGTTCCTCATCTGCAGAGTCCATTCCCCGTGTGGCAAGTTCAGCAGCGGGACTGAGCATGGATGCACTGGCTCCTTTCATTCTGCCCTCCAATTTACTAAACTGAATCCGAGCCTAAAAGAGTCCCCTCCTCGATTCGCAAGCCCCGTTCACTCAGAGAAATCTGAATTTTCCGTCGAAGTACAACAACTCGAGTGCATGTGCGTGCTGGGCCTGAGATTAGCGTGGTGCAAGAGGAGCGACCCACAGTACTCTGCTCATAAACGGATCATGAGCAATTACTAGTAACGCAGGACGATCGTGCAAAGTTGAAGCAGGAGCTGTCCGAACTGCATGGAGGGCACGGAAAGAGATGTGAATGAATGTGAGAACCTGGATTCTGGTTCCAAAAGAATTCAGAGAGAATGTGAGAAGTAACTTCACGTCTCTCCACAATAACTGCGTTCTATGTTCTCACCTCGACAATAACTGCGTCCCCAAAGCCAAATCCACAGGCAGGAGTGTCTACTCGCCCAAATGTAGACAGAAGCTTGTCATATCTGCCCCCTCCACAAATTGCACGTAAAGTCCCTGCCCTGTCAAAAGCCTGAAAATTTCGAACAGAATTGGTCATGGTAAATACCACATCCTGGAGTACCATAAGTTGAGTCGAGAGTAAGTACATAGATAATGAGCAGCTCATATCCTAGTTATAAGGCACAAACTCCTGCTCTAAAGGTAAAGACAAGTGGATTCAGCTTTGACCTCAAAGACTGTTCCTGTGTAATATGCGAGACCTCGGACCACAGAAGCATCAAACTGCAGCCAGTCTTCAAAACCATATCCTGGAGCCAATTCAAAAAGTTGCTTCAATTCTACGACTGCTTCGTTGTCTGACCCTAAAAGTTCTGCACCAGCAGTAAAAATCTTAGCATCAGAAATAAAGCAGTGCTCTGACTAATATACTGTTACGGTCCTCCAGTTTACGAGAAAATCGTTTCAAGTAATTCAGCACAGTTTCCACATGAGAACAGAAATAGGGAGAATCAAACTATGAACACAGGAATTTCCTTGAAACTGAAAATGCGTGAATAAGTTTGAATTGTGCATCGCGAAAAACTAACGCACCTTCAAGATTATCAAGTGAACGTAACGCGAGAGCCCGTAGAATTGTATCCACAGCTTCCACGGAAGACCCAACGCTGTTAACTCTTTCTCTACCCCTGCTCTTGGTATCTTCTCAATCTAAACAAGAGAAAGATAGAGGCAGGATTAACATGAGTGAACATCTAAGCTTGTCCCAGCAGTGTTCATGGACAGATAACGGAATTTTTAGCCTTCAAATCATTGATCGAGCACACACCTTGTCGACAATAACACATACAGCCGCAAAAGAGCTTTCTGGGATCACACTGCGTCCAACGACCTCTTGTGGCACCTGCCAGCACATGTTTGGGATTACCATGAAACGTAGAGCTTGTGGTCCATTAAAGGTCGAAAAGACGTCCACGACTTGCTAGGCAGATAGAATAACCTGTGATTTCGAGCAGAAATTCTGAAAAATAGTAGGATTGAATAACTGCAGGCTATGGTGATGATATAAATGATGTCAGCACCAACTCACCTTGCGATTTGAAATTTTAATACCAACGTCACTGGACCTAATGCGGAGCTTGGAGAAGAACGCGACAATGGCGGAAAGAAGTTCTGCTTCTGCCTGATTATCAGTAGAAATATCTCTTAGTTTCCATCAGGTGAGAGAGAGGAAACGTCGGTCTCAGAGTTGATATATGGCTTCATTTCCTGTAGAGTCCTTGTCAGGAGATCGGAAACTTCAAGCTTGTCCACTCAGTTCCGTCCACATCTAACGCCTCTCGAACTTCTAGAACTGAGTGGACAAGCTGATAGCTCTGCAGGTGAACACCACAAGACTAGTTTGTATCAAAGATGGAGGGATCTGGACGCAAAACATCATGGAATTCAATATAAAGGCAGATTTCAGATCTGAAGTACTCTGAGATGTGAAAAACTGAATGTAGAATTGGACTGGGAGAATGCGAATCTAGCTGCATCAAGATCCATGTGAGGACAGACCCTACAGTGGTAGCGCGTGGGAAAACAGGCATCGTCTTCAATCAGATCTTGTCGTTGAATCGTGTGAGCAGTCCATGTAACGACAACATGCAAACAGAACAAGCGCGTTATTTCATATTCTGTGTGATTAGAAAATGGTTAGAAGGTGGGAGTGAATATTGACTTTGTTGTGCAAGCGAACAGAATGTGTGGATGAATGCATCAATGTGACTATACACTCGATGTCGTCACGCTGACAACAGAGATTTCAGAGTCTTTATTCATGGAATAAATTTCCTCGAATGTAGGATGTATTCAAGCAAGTGAATATTTCTTGATGTGGCATATGGGTACTCAGCTTGAATGACAAAATATGGTAAGCTTTTATTCTTGCTTTCAAGCTCGGTAGAATCTTCTACATAAAACGTGGGTTCAGAACAAACTGATCAGCTTTTGGGTAGTTTGCTAAACAAAATGTCGAAAAACCTGTGTACAGATTGTATGAATACTCGAGGCTCTCTATTGCTGGTATGATTGTTCTTCTAGCTTCTTCTAGCTCAACAGTGGATCATGTGAGCACATGCACAGTTTCAATTACAGAGGCCTTCAGACGTCAAACACTAAATTAGAGCAAACTATGTCCGTGCTAAGAGTTATCTTGCTCGTTTATCACGTCGTAGAGTTGCATTGTTGCGGGACAAAGTTGAAAACTTGTCACATCCAGCCAACCTTCAAAATCTCACTCCCAATTTCCTCCTCAAGTCTCTCGCCTGGAGCACCTAGCGTTTTCAAAGAGAAAACTGATCTGATCATCATTTCAAGATCACTGACTTCACTGATTGCAACAAATTGTCATATCAAACTCACACATCAAGTCACATGCGAATGGATCTTCATATCCTTGCAAGCAATGTACAAGTTGTATCGTTTGAAAGGTTTATTTTCAAGCATGTAGACACTTTTTTTATTATGAACGAGGTGAAAAAGCGTGTGCAATCAATGCAGAAAATTCATATATCAACGAAGATCGTGTAATTTCATGTGCAGTAATGTCTGTAGACGTGGTCCATCGTTTTCGCGATTAATTAAGTGTATTCAACTTTACTGCGAGGTTGGCTTTTGATGCCAGTCAAGCCGGACATTTTTTGTTATCGACTAAAATCAGGTATATATACCAATCATTCATTCCAAATGTCTGATATTTGGAAACAATTCAGTGAGGTCTACCGTTTATGATGATATGTTTGTAACCACAAAATGTAGATTCCAAAACTAGCGATCTACTGGATATGAAGGTAGAGAATCTGATGTGCAAATTTCCTCTTTTAAGTTATTATAGGTGCAAAGACTGTACTAAGTCTCACTGACATACGATATGGTGATACCTGCGAAAAGGGTGCTTCCTCTTGAGTTTGTCGCTAAAACAGGTGTAGAAGAATAAAAACCTCAGGAATTATAATTATGCTGGCTACAATCGGAGTGGGTCCTTCGACCGTCTTGCTTCTTGCGACGCAAAGGTTCTCTTATGGGAACATGGAATGCTTCTTAGAGTTGTATCTGAGGTAAAGTAATTAAAGGAAAATACCTAGTGCCAGTTAATGATTCTTAAATGAAGAATCATATTGGGGCAACCTTTATGGTATCATAAGGATGAAGTTGATGGAATCTGACAGCAAATTTTTGTTTCGAGGTGTAAGCAGATGTCATAGACACTTGTATTTTCTTGATGATAGCCAGTGTACTGTGTAATATACATCAAGGTCAACAAGATGATATACACAAGTGGAGAATAAAGCAACTCTGGAAAAGATTTACTATTCAGTAGAAATGGACACATGCACTGTATATATATATATATATATGGAATCTCTCTTACTGTCAACAACAAATGGAATCCCAGGGTCTCTGAGGTGAGACTAGATGCCGTGGACAAAACCAGATGAATTATCAGCTTGACGATCCGAGATGGATGGTAAAATAATGCATTATGAAAAAAAAGTAAAAAATATATGATAGTGAAAAAAGAATTTTTTGTTTAATCCGAAGCGTCCTTTGGATAATTCTTTGGTTTTACGAAAAAAAAGGGTCCATAGACATGAAATGGCTTTTCCGCAAAAAAAGCCATTTCAGGTCTCGAAATGGGTTGTAGATTTCCGGGCACGAAGACTATAATCCCCCCATTCAAAAATCCAAAATTGGCTATTACCCCCTATATTTCTTAACGTAACCCATGGGTTTAGACCTAACCGAGGCGGTCACTCGGCGCTTGATGAGGGCCCTTTCTTCAATTGTGGGCGAGAATAAGCATCATTGACATCCGTGAACCACACTTTTGTAAGTTTGATTCGCAAGCTTTTGAAGTTTTTCTAATTGTAAGAACTTAAGTCGAAAACAATCAGATATAGAATTTTTTTTGAATTATAAAGTTCATTTCTATTAAAAAACAAAAAAAAGATACGAATCTTCAGCTTTTTAACAGTAGATTGATTAATATATTCTCATTGGTGACAAATCCTTGGTAGATGCTAATTTTCCATGATATTCATAAAAAATTTTAATATTTACAGTTGGTTGGTTTTTACACACTTTCATTTATTGCAAAATTTCTAAATGATGAATTTTTCAATGAGTGGTCTACTTTTCATATTTATGATATTTTTAATCTTAAATTAAAAATAGTTGATGATATTCCGAGAACTTATTTTTTTGAATATAAGCACATGCAAGAAAAATTACGAAGAATAGTAAAATAGAAAAAATAATTCAAATATAAATCAATATACAATATGTCAAGTTCTTTATGAAAGAGATTAAAAGATGAAGTCAATCAGGGTTTAGGATGTAAGGATGGTGTTGATTCCGTGTAGTAATCTAGCTAACCTTATGGGTTGAACAACCCCGACTGTATGTTCTCCGGGCTGACGGTATACATACACCGTTCGTTTGTAACCGTCACCCGGGGTTTCGAGGTTCCGCCCAAAACGAGACCGGCGGCCTGTTCGTGTAGCATTTCTTGTCCCGGATTCGCGACGCGGATGACGATAGCTCGGAGGTGGCGATTTGTCGAATGATTTCTGCATTCAATCGACGAATATGTAAGCACGTCCTCGCTTCTGTGCAACGAATGTGCAATCACGTCCTCCGCTTCTGTTCCAGTACACCCGGCTGATTTTCAATGGATCCGATTACAGGGACCGATTTGTATGGATCGAACGTCGTGAAGGCGGCTTGACCCGAAACCGACTCAGTCCGACCAATCGAGTACAGCATGGCCGTGAAAGGGCCGTAGCGGCTAATCTGTATGCAGGTGATATTGGAGGTAGTAGTTGAAGGCAATTGCTGAGTAGTGATGGCTAGTAGGTGCAGTAATACGTTCGAGCTGCAATACAACATCCACATAGGTTGTAAACATCTACTTCTCTAAAGGATACATATTTCACGATACTGAAAGTCATGGCCTCTATATGTTTCAAGCGACAAACTACCGCAGTAGAGAGGAGGATTCGATCGAATTCGAAGATACCTTCTCGTTAGAAAAAACTGCAAATCGACCCCATTGTGAATGATCTGATGTTCCGAATAAATCTCTCAAGAAACAGAAGGCGGAGTATGGTTTCAACCATCCATGTAGACGAATATCCGGGTCAACATTAGTGAAGCACTGAGAGCTAGGGGTAAGTGAGGGCGAAGAGTCGAGCTGGAAGCATATCGTGAAAAATCTTGATATAACAGTCTTATTAGGTTTCAATCGTATTAGTTTTCAGTCCAGATCCGAAGTTAGCACCAATTGCTTATACTACCAGTCTCGATTTCTAGATGCCAAATGGATCACGGCAAGAGCTGTCTTCGTAGTATTTGCACTGAGCTTCAAGAGTGATGCTGTAGTTCAGACCGTAGGTTGTTGTCGCACGGGGAGGCAACGAGCAGGGGACGAACTAGTTGTCTTTCATTGAAACCTGCGGAATCGCATTCAGGGCAGGCTGGCAAGGCTGGCGGGCGTCTGATGGCGGATCCGCCGGTTGGCTCATGCACTCCTGTTCTGAGCTCGCATGAGTCCCAGAGGAATCAGCTCGAGACGCATGACAGCGAGTGTGCAAGAAGGTTCGAGCAGAAGAGGATAGCACGGATAGTACGGATCAAATATCATTTTTCTGTTTAAAATATGTGATACCAACTTAAGAAAGATCAAAGACCATTGCAGGGGTTCCCATCCTTCATCCACGATTCGCGTTTTTAAGCGTTCGGATTGTATGCCTTCGTTCGGATCAATTCGTCAAGGTGATTTATCATTAAATCTGACAAATTTGTACAAGCTTCGAGTGCGTGCTTACATGTCTGTAAGTTAGGATTACTTTCCGACTCGACGAAATGAGATGTCTTCTACCGAACGTCCCATTAACAAAAATGAGTTATCGAATGACTAGCAGCAGCATTGGCAGCAGCCACAGGAGAGAGAATAAAAAAATGTCGCTCTCAACTTTTCGACCCAGAAACGCATATACTCGCGTTTGCATTGCAGGAACAAATCAACTCTTCTGCCTTGAGGTTTCTTAGTCTTTTAAGCGGAGATATGTTCATCATCCAGCAAGATAATCTGGTCGTTACGGCCTCTCGAGCAGGTGGCGATTGAGGTGGAGACATAGTCAGTCAGACATCTACAACTCAAGCCGCGCTTTCCATCGCGCAGACACGTGGCTCATATCGAGAGGTTGCGCTCGGCGAATGAATTCTTGACGCGACGGTGACTAAAGAGAGACCGTCACGACGGTGACCGTATGCCGTACACCCACAGTCATACGGTCGGGGTTGTTCTAGCCTGCAGTCTTATATCAAAACAAGCAAATTAAGTGTACAACATTATGAATGAACTTATTAACACTCTAG